TCAATGAAATAATTCTTTGACGAAACCATCAATAATAATTTATTAGCTTCACTATGGTTCAACCAATATTAATTATTAATCTTCCGTACCCGTGGAAAATTTGTGGTAAAAAGGGTACAAAAACACTCTTACTTGGCGATGTAACGCGGTAACAATCTATAGAAAAAGGCTTGATTGTAAAACTTTGTTTAAATAAGCCTGGAAGTAGCCTATAACAATAGATACTAAATAACAGGACGCGCATATTGTAATATTGAAATGTTGCAAATGAGCTAGTAGGAAGCCACCTTCTAATTAATGTTGTACTAATTGTTATACTAATTGTACTTATTTACAATTCTATACATTTTTTATAGATGAAATGAATAACAAATTAATTAGGAATTACGATCTATTCTATGGCAATCGTGTGAAAGTCCTGACATAATGCCTATTAGTTTCCATTACTTACAATCCGTTTCCCTCCTCTATAACGATATTAATTTGATTATGCTACAATAAAAGTAAATATGCAATGAAAATAATAATTTGGTTTAAGGTGTGGCGAGTCCCCGAATAGACATACTGTTTTCAAGGAAATGAATGCAGACATAGAATAGAAAAACAAATCAAGACCAAAGGTTTGAAATATGTTCTGTATATTTCACAGGATCATTCTGGTGCTTACTTCGCCTTAAACAAATAACGGTCGGCACTTACTATAAAATGTAGTAGTTATAATTTTTGAAACTAAGAGGTTTTGTGTTTTTTGTGCCAGTTATACCTCCATATTATACCTACAATTAATCAAGTTAGTAATATGGTATCATCTATTTTTAGTCATTCAATTACCTATAGGTAGGTAATTGAATGTAGGCGAAGTTACGTATGAAAAAATAAATACAAACATTAGTAAACAGCCCGACCCAATGAAGTGATTTGTACTTAGCCGGTTTTTTTGTCACGTTTACAATTAATTCTGAAATTAGTCACGCGTGGCAACTCTACAATCGACTAATGGCACATCGATGTAGTTTTTGACGTTTGTTTATCCATTCGATTATTCGTCGTATTTGAGATCCAATTAGCATTAAGTATACACAGGCAGTGGTATTTCACCAAGCGTGAATACTGTTTGGTGAAGGGTAGATTGATGACATATCGTAGGTATGACATATGTTTTTGTTAGTACGTACACGCTACTTTTCGATATTTACCAAAGTTTAAAACGGCATTCACTATTGCAGCAGCTAGCGTAAGGGTCAAATAGTTTAATTATTTGAATAAATACTACAAATAAAAGTTCGATAAGTTTAATGTTTATAGCTCTATGATAGATTATACTATAGACTACAGTTCAGTAATCCAATGTTAAGGTAAGGGTACTGAATTAAGCTAGTAAGTATTTTATATGACCCATCTATAATTAATCACTTCAACAAAAAGTCCATACATCGTTTTATCATACCGGCAATCATACGGTCCATTTGATGGTAATCATAAATAAAATTATTTATTATTATTGTCTGATCTCATTTGTAAACGTCATTCCTCACATCTCTACGTAGAGATCAATCTCCTATACATATAGGTACACCTTCATACATTAGTCAGTACTGGATTTCTCCTTATAATATATACATATGTATGTAATTAGATTTTTGGGATGAATTTAATATTTATATGACATTATTTGAAAAGTATTTAATAGTACGGATGATAATATTATTTGAATCAATGTATTTTAAGGATGAAATATATAAAAGTCGAATAGTCGGTAATGACACTATTTTTAGAGTAGGTAAATATCATTAAGTAAAATATATATCGAACGGTATAATAATATTTGAATCAAATCATATTAATATTTGAGTCTTTTAAGAGTAAAGTATATAAAAGTCGAAGGGTACCTAAGTATCTACTAACTAAATTGTAGCCTTATGAAAATTCATAGCAAAATTTTATATGTAATATATTTGTATTAATTATGTGCCTATTTGTTTGTCTATTTATTTAAAAAAATACGTACACACGTGCTTGAACGTACGTGAATTTTAAGAAACATTAATTCTTAAAACTAATTAAATTCTGCGTCTAAAAATCACCAGTGATTAATTTAGGCTCAAATAGATGTTATTTCATTGTATTTAATTATTTTTTATAAACATCTTTCTGAGCAAGTTATAAGCTACGGTATTTTAATCCGCATTTAGTTTTCATTCATAAACTACGTAAAAAATCCAATTTCATACTTGTCAAAATCAATATTTACCTAAAATTATTTTCCATTCTTACAAATAATATTTTCTAATATAAAAAGAAATATTTAATACGACTTTTTTATGTCAGTAATCACTTACCTAAGTACTTTCCACTTATTTAATTTAATAATGCAAATGGTCGTAGGTACATGTAATTTTGGCTTTACGGTAAATCAATGCCAGACAATTTATATTGATTACAAAAAAAAAAAAATACTCTTCTTGTCGAAAGTCAGAAAAATATTTATTTGTTTATGAACAGATATAACAAATAACTATATTATAATGTATATAATTTTACTTACCATTGTAAATGCAGTATTAACTTTGAAGCAAATTACTCTAATCCAATATCTATATCATCACTAGAGCACTACTCGTAATCTAAATTATTCTTCGTTATTCGAGAATATCAAAATACGAATATATTTGTCTATGGTACGACAAAAAAATATGCGTTCGTAATAATTCCCGCCAAAAATCGACGCAAATCGCACGCATGCGCGATGATGCCGAGCGGCTTGTAATCTGTACGGTGTTAACAATTCAACATCCAACCATGCGGCTCAGCCGCTCACCATCTAGCCCGATTCTTTCTCCCTTGAGAATAAACGCACGTGATGCGCCTTATGAAAGCATTCAACTGGCCGTGGGACGTCATTAGAACTTTTGCGCTAGTGGTTCTACAACTATGAATGGTTTAGGTAGACCCGTGAACATTACAAGAGTACTCTTTTGTGTAGCTATACCAGTATTTATAATCAGTGAGAGGAGAGGTAACTAATGATAGGTAATAGAAGTGTTCGTTTCTCGTAGCTTACAGTAGTTAAAGTAAACTGTAGTTATTTACAGTAGATATTTACTTAATAAAATACTAACTAAGGCCTGCTATATAATTATAAAAGAAAATTGCTCCCGTTTCATAAATGGGTATCATTATAAACAGAGGGTAAGTTATTTTATATTATCTATATATACATAAGTTAATTTATATTATTTATCTATATATCTATATCTATTATCTTGTTATTATTAATAATTTTGTTTATAACTTTAATAAGTAAGTACTATTTTCAATATCTACATTAGATACCTATGTAGATATTAATTATTATTGTTGAGATTTGATTTTCGCAAAAGGACACAGACTAATTTTTTGGTGAAAATAGTACTTACTTATTAAAGTTATTTTATTATTCTTATAAGTTTATTGCCCTGTACAGGATACAAGAACAAATATTTTAGTGTGATTTTTGTTTAAGTTAAGTTATAGTTAGTTAATGAATAAGAACATTTATAAGATTATAAATAAAAACTATCTGTTTCAGCGTTGCTGAATATGCATCTAATGATAATGTAATAATGGAATAGGTTAGTTAACTTTGCCAAATATTGTTTAGAGTAAAACATGGCGGACATTAGTCAAAGCTGGTCACCTCTTAACAACTTACATGTAATTGGATGTCTTTGTGTTACACGGAATAGAGTTCGCAGACCTTTTTATTGTTTAAATTCTTTGAAATGTACTTCACATAATGTAAGTAGGTATAATTTAAAATTACATACAGTTATTCTGAAGTCGTAACGCATAAAGTAGCAAGCAGGATCTAGTCAGTAGTTGCAAGTAGATACCAACCACAGAAGATCATTTAATGAAATTTATCATATATAATACATGTAGGCATGTTGGTATGTAGGCAATATATTGTGGCAAAATGATGGTTCATGCAGTTATTCCAAATTTAAAGTATTAAAAATTTAAATATATATTTAGTAATGTCTAGTATCTATCCATAACAGAAGCTCTGCTTTGGACTAGATACTATTAGTTTGTACCTACATATAGGTAACTAATACGATGATATTTTTTAAAAACTGCCTAGAATGTTTTTAACTTTATAGACTAGAGTAAAACATAAGCATTTAATAGTATTTAAACATTTTCTGTTATATAATGAAAACATTCAAATTGCATCAAGCTTGAGTTTGTAAACCTCAGTTCTATCACCTACCTACTTCGAACTTCGAAAAGGTATAGATAATTATTTACAGTGACTGTCTGTCTGGCTTTAATTATAACATCACATAAATGCTGAGTGGGTGCCACAAGCAGCGTTACAAGTATGTTTTAACTTTTAATTTATATAGTAAACATTATTGTAAATAGGAGTACTGATGTAATGAATAAATGTCTTTATTATTATTAATATAAATTCTTAGTAAGTAATTAAGTATTATCACCTATTCACACTAATGCAGCATCACTGCTTTATGAATACATTCCATTGATACCAAAACTAAGCTCTTAACATACCTACCTACCTACATAGGTACAATATTAGGATTGGGTCGTATATTAATACATGATATTATTATAGTCTTTTTAATTAAAACCTCTTTATATTTTACGTAATTTTAAACAAAAAGTGATATACCAATCATTTATTATTTGTGTAAGATATGATTACTGAAATAATGACTTAATTTCTGTGATTGTATATTAATTTAAAATTTTATATCAATGTTTGATTTTATAGATAATGTACGAAATGAGTTGTTGTTTGAGTTTATAGAAATTTTAGATTTCGTGTCAGCTGGGAGTCTTAATTTATTCGACAGGATTACCGACAATTTAATATCTATTATAAGAAAACAATTGTATAAACCTAGATGTGGTGATAAATTTTTAGTATGAATTAAAGGAATAGGTATACTACAAAAGTAAAAAATCAAAATTTTTGGTAATTAAGTATGGAAAATATGGAGGACCAGATATCACCAGCTGAAGGCATAATAACTCCACAGATAGATGACAACAAATATGATAGTGATAGTGAAAATCAAAAGAAAGCAGGAGACAGTAATGAAAGAATGGCAGGTGAAGGTTTAGAGGAAGCTGAAGGAGAGTATGTTGAAGGGGAACATTTGGAAGGAGATCTTGTGGAACGAGAAGAGGAACAGGTAGAGGAAGAATATTTAGGAGAAGAACAAAAAGTTCTAAGGGAAGGAGACCAATTTATAGGTGAAGAACTTGAAGGAGAGCATACGGAGGGGAAAGAAGTAGATGAGCAAGAAATCCAATATGCAGAAAAACAACCTGCAGAAGTGACAGTTGAAGAGGAAGAACGATATGTAGAAGAGCCACCACCAGACCCTACTGCTCCTTTTAATTTCAGTGATTCAAAAGAAGAATTGAGAGAACCTTTTCAATTAAGACCTGATCAATTGGCAGAACTAGAGCAATTATGGGATCTATATCAAAATTATACACCAGCCTATACAGACATTGAGAAATATATAACAGAAAAAGAACTCGTTTATATGTTAAAGTCTATCCTTCTTATGACAATTACGTCAGAACAACTTCAAGAACTGATAGATTTTTGCGTGAGGCCACCACATCCGCATGGTCATATTACATTTCAGCAATTTCTTCGAATGGTAACCATACGACAAAGAGACTTTCTTATCGAAGACGAGCTACGGTCTGCTTTGCAAGTTTTCGATCCTGAGAGAACTGGAACTATTGATCGAGAATATTTAAAGGACGTTCTATTGATACAAGGACATAAAATGCCACAAAAACCTCTGGATAATCTTATAAAAGAAGTCGATATGAGCAATGATGGTACAATTGGTATTGAAGATGTGGTCGGAACCATGTGTATTGATTTAAATAAAGAAGATTTAATGATGTTAATTGCGTCTGTATTTTCAAATGCAGCCGATAGAGTACCTGAAGAAAATGTATGATATAATCTACATCTTTATATTAAATGCACTAAATTCAACTCATATTTAGTCGAATAAATAATAGGTCGCTATTGCCAAAATTTTTTCAATACGTTCATTTTTTTTATTTTTCGTACCCACAGAGCAATTAACAATACGTTTTATAAAAACTATCACTTTGGAGACCTTATGAGGACTGAGGCCAAAATTGATGCTATGTGACAACCTGTAATGGAGATGGGGCTGGAGGGTAGAGAGGACGATTAGTAAAGGGGACTGGTGACTCTTTTGATAGCTTTAATATTTTTAAATTAATATCTAACCCTGGACAATATACACTGCTCTGTTTAGTGCCAAACTAGTATATCAGATTGTTCTCCACGCAATCCTCCCTGGAAAACATCGTGGCGGATTCCAGGTGACTTTGTAACGATGGGCTAAATAACCTGACTTTTAGTGTATCTTATTATTCTCCACTGGTTCTTATATATCATACTCCACTATGACATTTTTTTTTGTGTATGATAATGGAATCGTGTACCCGCCTACGCTAACGGTTTACGCTGGCGGGGCCAGTGGAGGTTGATAAGATGAGCATGAAGTCAGGTCAGTTAGCCGATCGTGACAAATTCACCAGGAATTTAACACGATGGTTTCCAGGGGGAACCGCGTGGAGGTCGACCTGACATGGTACATTGTACAATGGGATTATTAGTTCACATTACTAACAATCCCCTTCCCCCTCCCCTTTTCATTTTTTTATAATAGATGATAATGGAATGGTGCACCCGTCTGTCCTAAAGTTTACACTGGCGGGGCACCAGTGGAGGATGTTAGGCCATCGTGACATATTCAAGGAATTTATCACGATGGTTTCCAGCAAGTACCGCGTGGAGGTCAACCTTACATAGTACATTGCTAGCAATGGGTTCATTAGTCCTACATTACTAACAATCCCCTTCCCCCCTCCCCTTTTCATTGTATACCCACCGTTAGCACAGGCGAGTGCACCATTCCATTATCATCCATAAAAAAGCTCTTTGGCGGAAAGGCATTGTTAGGTTAGAAATGTGAAGTAATTACTCCATAGCTAGCAGCAGACCAGATATTAAAAATGATAAAAAAGTAGTGCACCCGCCTGCGCAGTTTACGCTGGCTGGCCACCTGTAGAGGATGATAATATGAGCACGAGGTCAGGTCAGGTCGGTTAGCCTATCATGACAAATTCGCCAGGATATATAACAATGTTTTCCAGGGGAAACCGCTTGGAGATCAACCGGCAAAGGTATTTTCGTATTGCTAGACATATTGCGGGATATTAGTTCGCATTATTAATGACCCCTTTCCCCGCTGGTTTGGATTCTCAACTAGGATACCGCAAAATTACAATAATAAAATTGTTTCGAATTTATGGGTTTGAATATTGTTCCGATTTTTTTTTTCTTATATCAAACAGATTGGCACTAAAGTTGTTATACATAACAATAAGTATAATTATAATAATAATTATACAGTAAAAAATTATTCATACATGAATAATTAGGGTGAAGGTTGCTGCCTCGGGGCGAACCCCTTTGCCTCGGTATCAACTCTGGGGGCAATAACCGCCGGGTACGTGGGTTTTTTTTTAAGAATGTTAATGGAATGATGCACCTGCGCTATCGGTTTACGCTGGCGGGGGACCAGTGAAAGATAACAAAATGAGCATGAGGTCAGGTCAGTTAGCCCATCGTGACAAATTCACTAGGAATTTAACACGATGGTTTCCAGGGGGAACTGCGTGGAGGTCGGCCCGACATGGTACATTGCTAGCAATTTAATATCAATTAAAATTAATATCAAATTAATATAAATTTATTAACAATCCCCTTCCCCCCCGAGTACGTGGGTTGCAAGCCTCTTAGGGCGGGAATTAACTTATAAGAAATCTAAAGTGAACTTAAACTAACTTAATAATTAGTGATATATGTGGGAACAATTATTTTTTCTTTTTTAGAAGTTTTTATTTCTTGTTTTTTTATAATTACTGAATTAAGGGTAATTGCAAAGTTCGCAGCACTGACAAGTGTGACTACGGTTGTAACTTTAGCTGTCAAATGATTTAGCATTAACTGTCAAGCATTGTTTTTCTGTCTACGCTGTGTACGCTCGCTATATGTACGCTCAATGTGTTGGATAATATATTAATAAAATAATAAATTATAAAATCATATATTTTCTTATGTCATTAAATTTTAACTTTTTTTTTATTTATTTATTTGTGGCCAGCAATAATTATCATAGTCCACAACATACTCGCCGCCTTTGCAATTGCTTATGTATATTGCAAAACACAAACACACAAAATTGAATATAAACTTAAAGATCTAATTTTTGTGGTATTTTAATAGAACGACCACATCGAGTCTGCTGTGTTTCTAATTGAGGTGAAACAGGATCAGTCTGTATAGGGTTAGGCATTGCAGAATTTAAGGGTACCTCCAATGGAAATAAACGTTGTAGTGGTCGAATCTTTTCTCCCATTGCAGTTTTAACTCGTGCTACTCGAATAATGCCGTCTGCTCCTGGAAATACAGCCGTAACTACAGCAAGTGGCCAATCTACACGTTTAGATTCTAGCTCTACTAATACTATATCGCCTACTTTAATAATTCGTGATTTATTGGACGCAAGTTGCTTTAACAATGAAAGATATTCGCTGCGGAATCTAGATTTAAAATCTTTGCGTAATTTTTGTAAATATGTAACTTTCGTATTTAATGTATGAGCGTCAGCTTGATCTAAATCCACAGTATCATACTGTTTTAAATCCTGTAGAAACATTGCGGGCGTAAGTGGTTTCAGATTTTCAGTATCATCTGCAATGTACGTCAATGGTCTGTTATTGATGATACATTCTACCTCGCACAAAATGGTTAAGAGAGATGTGAAGTCTAGACAAGCTTTACCTAAGATTCTTCGTAACATTTCTTTTATTGTCTTAATCATGCGCTCCCAAAACCCTCCCCACCACGGAGCTTGAGGGGGATTGAACCGCCATTCTATTTTATGAGATGTCGTCTGTAGTGAAACCCTTTCCCAATCAATACTATTCAGAAGGTTACTTGTACCACGAAAGTTCGTACCATTATCGGAGTAGACAGTCTTAGGCTTGCCTCTACGTGCAATAAATCTACGAAAAGCCAGCATAAAATCTTCCGTAGATAATGACTTACATAATTCCAAATGAATGGCGCGATAAGATGCACAAGTAAAGACTACGATCCAGTGTTTCTCATTATCTCGGAGATATAATGGACCAGCAAAATCTACCCCAGTAACATCAAAGGCAGCACCGCAATTTGTACGACCAATTGGTAACGGAGCTGGTGGTACAGAACATCGACGAGCATTATAACGCTTACAAACAACACATTCACGCACAATCCTTTTACATATTTGTCTGATTCCCATGACCCAATAAAATTCTCTAATATTACTAATTAATAATTGTGAACCAGCGTGACACAACTCAATATGTTTATGACGAATCAGATTTTGAACTAATTTATTTGATCCAGGAAGTAAAATTGGAAATATAAAAGTATCTGTGTCGTCTCGTAGTGTAAGTCTTGTTTTGACACGTAAGATTCCATCTTCGTTCGATTTAACTAATTCCATATTCAAACATTTCATAGTCGATTGTATGTCATTGAAATGTTCATTTTGAATTAAAGCAAATAACCTTTTTTCAGCCTTTTCAAATTCACAACTCGATAAGTTTCCTTTCGTTCTTGTACTAGACTGTTTTAAACAATTTTCCTTAAAACGTATACACCAACCTATCATACGAACCGTTTTTATATACTTAGAAAAATAGGTAAGTCTATCCGAAAACATTACCACTTCTTCTGTAACTAAACAATTAACATTTATTTCTTTAATATATTCTTCTTCGTTTAGTTCTGGTACAGAGCATGGCCATTCATCTATATTATTTCGTAACCAAGAAGGTCCTTCCCACCATCTACTATTAAGTAGGACTTGAGCATTACAACCACGAGAGGGCAAGTCTGCTGGATTAAGGTGACCTGGAATATGACGCCAGTCTTCAACATTCGTCTTATCTAAAATTTCTTTAACTCGGTTATGTACAAAAATATTTAGTCCAGATTTCCTTTTAATCCATGCTAAAACAATACTGGAATCTGTCCAATAATATTCCTTCAAACGTTCCAAATTAATCGATTTTTTTGCTTCAACTGCCAATCTAGTAGCCAAAACAGCAGCTATTAACTCAGATCGAGGCACAGTCACTGCCTTAGAAGGTGTAACTCTGCTTTTTGCTATGACTAGTTGTACATACACGCTGCGATCAAATTCTGTTCGTAAAAAGACACAACCTGAATAAGCTGATAGACTGGAATCTGAAAATATATGTAAAGATACTGAACAAAATTCAATACTAGTCGGAAACAAATGACGAGGAATCCGACATTCCGTTAAAAGATTTAAATATTTTATCCAATTTTTCAAATCATGTTGAATTTCCATAGGAAGCGGTTTATCCCATTCCAAACCTATTTTCCAACATTTTTGTATGAGTATTTTGGGAACTATAGTGCATGGACTAATAAAGCCTATAGGGTCGAAAATGCTCTGAGCGATAGATAATAAAGTTCTTTTCGTCATAATATTATTCTCATTCATAGAAGGAACCTTGCAAAATAGTTCATCGCTCCGTGGGTCCCAGTTGAGTCCTAAAACAGACGTCAGTTTATGTGTTGGATAATATATTAATAAAATAATAAATTATAAAATCATATATTTTCTTATGTCATTAAATTTTAACTTTTTTTTATTTATTTATTTGTGGCCAGCAATAATTATCATAGTCCACAACACTCAAGTTCCAGTTAGTGTTGTCATTATGTCATGTCTGTTTTCACAGTAATATCATATTTTATGTTCAAGATATATAAATTGAACTAAGAAAATGAAATTAAATAAATAAAACAAATATACTTAATTTTCGTATTAGCCTTTTCTAAAGAATAAACAGAAAAAACATATTTATTTGACATTTATGTTTTCCTTCTATCTGTGTTTCTATCAACAATGTTAGTATTGTTCTGTGCACTGAATTCAATCGGCTCAAATACAAATAACAATAACTGTCATTGCCAGGCGGCATCGTATGTATTTTTATTTGGAAAAGAGAATTAATGAACGTTTTGTGATCTATCACAATTTGACGAGCCATGAAGTATATCTTGGCATTCCTGTTGTTAGCCACAACATATAATTCGTGTAAGATTCTGAATTTATTTTCTAGAGTACATACAACATAATGTTTGGGTGTGGTAGCCAGCATAAGTGGAACCTACCACAACATTGAGAATTGTTGTATATATATTACAATTTTCATACTGAGTGTTATTCTATATTTGCGTGTATCGTTGACTTAAGCTGCTTTCATTTTAGAGGTTTAAAGCCGATAATGTATTAAACGTTAAAACCACTCTCATTTTATTTTGTATGAAGATGGAACGGTTCACCCAATTGTGTTAACGATATTGACTGGGGTAGGGCACAAAGGACTTATGATAAAAGCATGAATTTAGTTCAGTTAGTGCATGGTTTATGAGATACTGGCACTAAAATTGTCTCCTGCCATTTTGTCATAATACCCATGAATATGTTATTATTATTAGAATTTTGATCAAAGCTTAGCAGACAATGGTTCCATGATCATAGAGAAAAAAAATGTGTCTTGGTATTATTTCAGGTTTGGCAATATGGTGTTATCAGTGTTCATCTGCCACTCCTGGATGCTCAGAACCCTTCAACTGGAGGGGTGTAGGGTATTTAGGAAATCCATGTCCTGACAATGATGATTATTGTATTAAATTGATTGAAAGGAAAGGAGGTTTGTGAAATGCATGAAATTAACACATAATTTTCACTATTGCAATAATGATTCCACATTGTATCATGATGTGTAATACTTTAGTACTTTTGGTAAATTTTTACAGTCAAAGTTAATATAATCTAGTCATAACCAACATAGTTTTGTTACATATATTGAGGCTTTGTGAACTGACTTATTAGAGTGACTTGTACAAGTTACTGGCTCTAAATAATGTGGTAGTGTTTTTATAAAAACCATTCTGGAGATTAACAAGGAATGCTATTTTTATATTAGTAAAATCAACTACTACTTGAGTATAATTTTTCAAACTCTCAAACTGGTGGATGTATTAGTTTTAATAATTACTCTGGACAATTCACACAGCGCCATCTAGTCCCAAGCTAAGCAGAGAATGTGTTATAGGTGCTTGACAACTGATAGATATACTTAGACACAATTTTTTTTAAAACATAATATACATAGAAAACACCCTTAATGACCACAAACAATCTTAATCATGAATAAGAATGTTTGGACTGAGCGAGGTATTAAAACTGCAACCATCAGAACTTAGCCAGTGTGCTAATCCGCTAGATCACTGAGGCTGTTATATTCATATTCTGTGAAATTTTGGTCTATTGGTATGTGGAACAATAACATACAATACATTTTTTGGAAGTAACTTTAATCAGTTTTTGTTTTTATATTTCAGCACAAACAGTAATCACAAGGGATTGTTTGAGCAACTTTCGAGCATTCCGAACAGACATTCCAGCTGATACATATGAGGGTTGCAGACCCGCAGCAAAGGATGTTAATTTGGCAAATTATGTCAATAACAGTATTAAAGAACTTGACTTAAAAAGGTAAGATAATAACTAAGTGACATTATATTTATTTAATTTTAGACTAGTAAGAATTTCCCTAAAGGTGTGCTAAAAATATTAATATATTTAATTAATTTAATTATATATTTATGATTATTGGTTTTTAATATTATGTATAATGCAATAGAGGTAAGAACTGAAGAGCTGCTTGTTGGTAAGTCCTGATTCTGTTGAAGTTTAGAGATATGGGAGTGAAATTATAGGTTACTGAGTCATAATGTTTTACTCCTCTGGAATGGCGACGTTAGAGGGTCACAGGAGGTCTGAATGCCTGCAACTCAGCATCAGATGGGGTGTTCTGACACTGTTTATTTTACTTATTTCAGTTATAGTTAAAGAAAAATAAAAATAATTGTGTATACCAGTACGAATAATTGTATGTTACATTTAAGAATCCATACCTATACAACCTGTGCTTGTAGTCCCTATACAATACAGCAATTACATCTTTGTTATGTAACAGATTGAAATCTGAAATAGATTTTTCTTTGTTCATTTCAATGTAAATTCATGAGATTGAAATTCAATTGTGAATAACCTTGAGGCCTTAAACAGTGCTAGAGGAAGCTTCGTTCTCATTGTATGGGGTGATATTAATATCTTATATATAAAATTCTCGTGTCACAGTTTTCGTTCCCATACTCCTCCAAAATGGCTTAACCATTTCTCATGAATTTTGTGAGCGTATTGAGTAGGTCTGAGAATCGGCCAACATCTATTTTTCATCCCCCTAAATGTTAGGGGTAGTCCACCCCTAAATGTTTTGACAAAATTTTTAGAGTCTATTTTTTTATGATACAACATACAAAAATACATACAATCCTAAATTTTCACCCTTCTATCATCAACCCCTATTTTTTTATAGCGTTATTAATTTATATGGCAAAACGTTTGCCGGGACAGCTAGTATTAATATATAACAGTAGGGAAAAAATAATAATTTAAAATTTTACGTAAATAAGTGGCTACAGTGTCCAACATGATTAAATTCTTTTTTATTATTGATAATTTTTTTGCAATACATGTCTATTTTATTTTCAGGGAATGGTATGACGAGACAATGTGGTGTTTCTGTTTCCTCGACCATCGATGTAATGGCGTGACAAATGTTACAACATCAATGGCGTTGCTAATGCTTTCAAGTATTGTGATGCTGGTCACAAATGTATCATTATTTTGATATTTTCTCACTTTTCAAGTAAAATTTGACACATGACAATAGGTATATTTCACCAAATATGAATTGTAATATAAATAAGTATCTATGTATATATATCAGAATTGTATAACATGTGTCTAATATGCCTTAACAATTTTACAAATGAAAGATTATGTTTTTTTTTGGTAAAATATCTTTATGTTTTAAATCATAACAAGGGCATGATAATTCTAATAGACTGGTAGAGAATCTCATTTTATGATTTAATTATATTGATACAAACATGTATGTAGAATAACTTGTACATTTAGTAGTAAAGTATAGTGTAACTAAAGTATAACTAACTCTTTTATCAAAGTGAAATGAACTTATTGTGCTTATATGTACAATGTTTTATCTTGTACTTTCAAGATTGATAGAGTATCGACTATCAAGTTGATAGATTTGATATCAGGTTGATAGTATCAACCCTCATTCTAATATTTAAGAAGTATATGCCTATTTCGTGGTGATTTACATCAATAATCTAATTCAGGGTTTCTGAAACTTGACTCACAAACATCTGTTAAAACTATCAGATAACAGTATACCTATTATCTAACTAATTAACTTCCTCTCTCCCTCAAGAAAATAAGATTTTTATATCAATATAAAAGGTAACAAATACAGTACCAAAATAAATATCTTTTTAATCTGTATTAATGTAATGGGTGGACTGTTGTGGAGATATTTGTGCTGCTTTTGTACAAAGTACCAAGTGTAAAAACCCACTCTCATATAAATATGTCGTGGCAAAAGGTAAAAGAAAATTCACCGCCGTGCGTAAGAGTTATATAGGGTTACAATTACCATTCTTTAAATATTGTCGCAAACGTCTTACATCCGAATGGCGTACGTCGAGAAGAGTTCGCGTACTCCACTTTGATATACCCTGGTCTAATTCATACGGATTATTTAAGGACTTATTAATAATATCACTTGAATAATTCAAGGATTTTATTTACGTGACTGTTAACTATGTAGTGTCACCTTTTTAACAAACCCAATAACGCCGTGACGGTAGTGCGACATTCGTAGATATAACTCTATTAAACTATCTTTATCGGGAATGACACACGGTCGTCACGCTTGGCAGCACGTAGCCGATAGCCTGACTAATGTCATAGGTATAGTTTAGTAAATTACAACTACGGTCCATTCAACTTCTCTTTTTATAATCATGATTTTGTTGTAAAAGGGCTATATACGAATTAATACATTGCCGTCGCGTGGCCACTTCTGTGCATCCCATTGCCAATATAGTCGTTAATATTTAATGTGGAGGTCTAAGAGAATTGATGTATATCTAAGACAGATAGAAACATTTTCTTTCGTGATAGGTACCATAGAGTAGTTAGTTGTAATAGTACAAGTATCAAAGTGCCTAAGTAATTTAAGCTAATAACTGTTGCTAATCCATTTTTAAGACAATTATAATTTGTTGTTATAGTTACAAAAAATTGATGTATTATTTGCCTACATGAATGTATATATAAAGCCGGCTATTAATATGTATAAGGCAGCTCTTACAACATCCTTTCTAAGAAATCGAGTGGTTATTGTATGCTTATGGCCCCATGCCTAAATTATATCACACGAATTTAATGACTTCTTGTTTTCTTGACGAAAAATGAGGTCTTTGTCACATCTGGCCACATTTGCGAGATTTCCCCTTGCTAGTGTGACGTAAAAGATTTTACAAAACATCTAGAAATGTTCAAATTAACAAACTAAATTAGTTTCCTTATCATATCAAATTTATTTAATACAATTTAGATACTGAATTGTGAAGACATAAAACTTATGATTCATGTGCCTTGTCACGCAATGTCACACTTCGTTGAACCTCTACCTAACTTGTGACGTGATCTATAGATAACTGTTGACTCCGTCGTCACACAGTCTCTGTGTGACGACGGAGTCAAAAGTTCTTTACTTTTACGTTATCTTTTCTCTGAAATATTGTAATGTATTAAAATTATGATAATTATAAAATTACTATATATTATATTAATTTTAGTATTATATTATTAAATTCGTATTTATCTTACTGTTTTATTAGGTTTAGTTAGACATTTGTAATTATTCCAGAAACAACTCCGTCCATTTTTTGTAATAGAATATTTTTTATCAATAAAATTGTAATTAATTATGCATAAGTTATTTTTTTCCAACCAGTAATGAAATATTATGTAATATTATTATTCTAAAATACATCTTATGTATACATGAATATACGAATAGGAAGAGCTTATTAGGATTTAATACGAATTATATAGCTACTAGCTGAGCAACTTTGTCTGCGTCACACTTATGACTTACATAACATTTATCTTATACTTATATTTCGCTCAATTTACATATCTTTTAAAATTATAGCCTCTGTGTTATTCTGATGTATAAGCTATATTACTGTAAAATTTTATCAAAATTTATTCACTAGTTTGTGCGTGAAATTGTAACAAGCATCTATCTGTACTCATAAACATTCGAGTTTATAAATATTAGTAATATAGACATTCCTTGAGTAATGTCAAGAGATGGAAGATAAGTGTCCTCCCAAAAATATGAATTTCCATCTGTAACAAAGAATGAAGAAGAAAGAAAGAAACCTTGCAAAAATTGTGGCTGTATATTGGCAGCAGGAAGCAGAGCCAATTGTGTGGTAAACTTGTCCTAGTTTGAAGCAATGATATCCGTCCCAAAAGATCTCATAATACAAAACGGCTCTAACTAGCTAGCAAGTCATGTCTTTCCCTTATAATTTTGACCTGGAATAGCCTCTATAGTGATTTCTAACTAGGCGGGAGTACATTTAATTGTAATAAACAGATAGACCACCTCTAGTTTATGGACGATAATGGAATGCACGAGCCTGTGCGAACGGTTTATGCTGGCAGGGCACCTGTGGAGGACGATAACATGAGTATGAGGTCGGGTCAGTTAACCCATCGTGACAAATTCACCAGGATTTTATCACGATGGTTTACAGGGAAACTGCGTGGAGGTAAACCTGACTTGGTACATTGCTAGTAATAGGGTCATTAGTCCACTTTACTGACAATCTACTTCCCCCGACCTCCCGTAGTTATGCACGTATGTGAATGCATCATGCGTATGTTTATGAAGACATCTCGAGTTTATTTTGGGAGTGTTGGTTTTATGCAAGCACAGGTTCAAATTTCAAATTTATTCAATTAATCTTGCAATTACGATCACGTGACAACTCGCAAAACCGATAATGGCCGTGTCTGAACGGATTGTCCTCGTAACTTTCAAACTATAATTCCAAATGGCTAAAGTACAACTACTATAATTCCAAATGGTTAAAGTGCATCTATTTTAAATACAAAAATCAATATAAGTGGTTATCATGCTACGAATTAATTTAGTACTGTAATTTACACATTGTTAGTATCCAAATGAAATATTTTTATAGTTCACTGCTTTGGCTATATCTAACGGTTTTGCTATTAAGGAAATATATTTCCACTCTACATTTTACTCGTGTAACTTACGGTTTTTGCAGCGCACGCCAGGAAGGCAATCAAATAGCAAATTTTTTCGACTTAACAGTTAGATATCATTATATTTCGCCCAATTTACACAATATCTGGTCAAGATCGCTGGAAGGCGACGGATGCGACCAGCGCAGGACTAATCGTCGAGGAGATCTTTGGGGGAGGCCTATGTCCAGCAGTGGACGTCTTCCGAGCTCAGATGATGATGATGATGATGATGACACAATATCTTTTTAAATTATAAGCTATGTGTTATTCTGATGTATATAAGCTACATCACTGTACAGTTTAATCAAAATCGGTTAAGTAGTTTTTGCGTGAAAGTGTAACAAACATCCATCAATATTCACAAACTTTCGCGTTTATAATATTAATAATAATAAGGAAGTAAGGTTTATTTATACTTTTTTTGGGGTTGCATAGTAAAAATAAAATGATATTAATAAATCAAATTTATGTTTATGACGCCAGATATCTCAAATAGAACAAATGCTAAGATTATGACTTTAGTGATAATTAAATTATTTTTGTGGGGATTTTAATGCAGTACTTATTTACGAAGGAAATAATTTGAAGAAAGTATGTATATTTATGAAATTTTATTCACGACAAAGTCATCCATATACATAGGCACTAGCGAGTAACGAATAAGAAAGAAAGAATATTGATACTTCATTAACTGTACATTAGAGAATTGCAAATTGAATCAATATAACAAACATCCCGGTAAAAAGCGTACCAAATTTTACTAAAAGACGTGCGTTCATTTCCCACATATCATACACTGAGAATGTGGGTGGAGTTTCTTCTAATATTTTATATATTTTCTTTGCTTTATTTCTGATTGATCCTACGGAAATAACACAATGTTTATGTTAATTAATATAGTCCGGGAATTTGGAACTAGTATTGCAATGGTAAAAAATTAAACTGTGCCCCATACTTGTTGCTGAATACACATACATACCTTGTATACAGTACGACATTATGGAAATTGACAGTTGTTTGGTTAGTTTTAACTCGTTGCAAAATAGTTCACATCGAAGACAAAGAAATATTATAGTAGCTGCATACACAATTGCTGTGAATAGTAGGTCCATGTATATTAGAATATCCACGATCTGAAAAGTGAGTGAGTGACATAATACTTTATTAAAAATATACCTACTGTAAATGTGTTGGTTTGTTTACGAGTCTAAATAAGTAAACAAAAAACCTCATTTTTCTAACCTATTCATAATTAAAAAATATATTGACTAGCTGTTCCTGCGGTTTCACCCCCGTGACTTGTACTGCCTTTGTGTTATTCTGATGCACAAGCTATAGGTATTATTGTAAAGTTTCATTACAATTCATTAAGTAGTTTTTCGGTAGAAGAGTAGCAAACAATCATCCATCCATCCATCCACATTCACAAACTTGTGCGTTTATAATATTTGTAAGATATAAATTATACAAAGCTGGATCTATTTACCTATAGTGCATCATCTACATCTATCAATTGCTATAAGGATTACGGCCACACAAACTCGGGCGCTTGAACACTTACTATTCAGAGGCTTCCATGAGAAACGGATCAATCGAAAATTGAAGAAATTGTTATATAGACCTTTTTAATACATAAGTCCCACAATACTTACGTTATGTTGTACCAGTAAGATCATAAATTGGAACGATTGTACACCATATATAACGAGCTTGCTGCAAAACAGTAGCATCTGCGAAATATGGGAGGGATACACATATTACACATATTATTACAACTAGAATCAACCAATATGCTGTTATTATGAATTATGAATAGTCAAGTTATTGTATACCTACTGATATTACTTTAGTATTCAGTTTCGATTCGAGATTAGTGGTAATTTTAAGGTCCTGTTTCATTGGCAATATTTTCTTGTCATTTGTAACAGGCTACTTAGAATTACTGTCTTATAAAAACAATTTGTAAGTAGAGGATAGGTCGGTAATAGGGTATCTACTACTATATTTTAACTTACCTGAAACATATAAATATTCTGATAGTGCGAAAACACATTCAATAGTTTCTTCAAATACGCCTGAACTTCGAATGACTTTAAATCTAAGTTTTTAGTTTCAATTTGTTTGAATAGTATTTTCACAAAGTAACCATTATGAGACGGTATTGTAAGGTCAATGGTATCTTCTTGATACTCTTTATTCAAATGGTTCTTCAATATACTATTTAAGATACGCAAGTGCATTGCAAAGTATACCATGAGATTAGAGTAATGACTTGTCTCGAGTAAAAATGTTACATCAGTATATATTATTCCAGTTATACAGATCACTTTCTTCAATCTGTCAAAACTTGTTATAAAAACTAATAGAAACGCGAACAGCGTTATAGAGACTGTTGCTATATTTAACTTATAAATACAGTTATAAAGATTTTTATCAGTATTGTCTATGATGAGGTTATCTAGCTGTTCCATTTTTATGTACAACTCTTTATGTTTCTCGTTGTTTAAAAACCTTGCACCCACAATGTAAAAAATGCAGAAGCGTTTGAAACGTTGCTATAGAAGTGCATAGGAAAAATATATCTCTATAATCCTTAAATTGGATGTAAAAAAAGTTTATCAATATGCAGTGTACAATAAGTACAAAGCATAAAAGTAAAATTGTATATAATCTTTGATACAACGTCGGTGTAGTCACGAATCTGTTTCTGCAATCGACTCGGCAAGAACCAACTACATATTGACAACAACGAATAGGAGCAAAGGATTTTAACAAATCCTCACTGATCAAGTCTCTTGAGTGGTTCGCGATTGAATTGGAGTTGCTTTCTTTGTTTTTCATCTTGAGTAACAAATAAATTTTCATACTTTTCCTTTATGCAACATGTTCCACTTAATATGAATTTTAACCGATATTATTTTTAATTCGTACCTAAATATATCTACCACAGCTTTTGCTGTGGTAAAAAGTAATATTGTTCATTACTAACAAAATTAGTGTTGACCTACGATAAAAGTTTTCCAGTAATTGATTGATTGTGATGTATTTCGTGGTGTAGGTACCTGTCTAGAACACCAAGTAAATAAATAATGGAATAAACAATAATCTAAGTAATTGTATCGACAATCAATAGGTAGATATAGAATATACCTACTATACACAAATTCTTTGTAGTCACATTATAATTTATTAATTTTGATACAACATAGATACAATAGATATACAATTGTTATGATGTTCTTACTTATTCACTTAAACCATTGTTATTTTTTTAGAAATTATACTTTATTGAGTAGCCATTACAATCAGTTTTCATTCTTACTACTAATGACATCTATCACTAGTGTTGTGTCAACAATCAATAATCACGCTAGTGATGTACTCTTACAACATCCCCCTTTCTTTTACAAAACAAAACTTTAATAATATATAAAATCTTCAGATACAGGTTTTCTTATTAATCTACCAGAACGAGAACAATTTTCATTTAAATTATTATGATTAGTTATATTACTACTTTCATCATCAATTACATTATTCTCATTATGATTCATTGATACATTATTTTCATTATACATTGATACATTATTTTCATTATACATTGATACCTTTTCATTTTCCATATCATTATCATTTTTCACACTCACATCACTATAACTATCATTTACTTCAAATTTTCCACATTTATTTAAATCTTTCCTATTTCTTGTTATTATCCTACCATCCTCTCTTTTTACAATGTAAGATCTTGGTCCTTTACCTTTCCCTATCACTATTCCTCTTTTATACCAACCTGCAGAATTTTCATTTTTAATCTTTACATAATCATTTAATATATTTAATTTTCTACTTCTCCTATCCTGATACATTTTCTGTTTATACTGTCTTTCCATCAATTCCTTAGTAAAATCTTTCTTAACAAAATTATCATTATGTATGTATGGTAATATATTCCTAATACTTCTATTGAATAACATTTCTGCTGGAGTTGTACCATCTTGAGATACAGGTGTATTCCTATACAATAACAAACCTAAATGTATATCTTTTTTCTCATAAATTAATTTTTTCAATATGTTTTTAATAGTTTGTATATATCTTTCAGCAAGACCATTTCCTTGGTGATGTTTTGGGCTTATGATCTTGTGATCAAAATTCCATTTTTACTAAATATTTTAAAGTCTTCACTTGTAAACTGACTACCTGAATCAGAATATACTATATTAGGTATCCCATATCTAGAAAATATTTCTTTAATACACACAATTACACTTTCTGTTGATAAATTTGATAACTGCTGAATCTCAACAAATTTACTATATGTATCTACTAAAAGCAAATAAGGTTTATTATAAAGAAAAATTATATCAGTGGCTACAATCTGCCATGGATTGTTAGGTATCTCTTTACATATCATTGGTTCCATACAATTACTATTTTGAAAAGTTTTACATGTATCACAATTTTGAATAAGATCTTCAATTTCTTTTCCCATATTCGGCCAAAATACTGACTTACGAGCCTTTATTTCTATTGCCTTACATTTTTCCATTCCTAAATGTGAATAATGAATTTTTCAAGAACTTCCTTTCATTGTCTTGTATTACAATTTGCGTACCCTTAAATACTAAACCATCACATTCACTTAACTCATCCTTATAAGTATTATAAATTTTTGCATCACTATCAATATTACATTTATTATGAGGCCAACCCTCTCTTATATATTTCCTAACACAATTAAGTACTCTGTCTTTATCTGTTTCTTCAACTAACTTTTTCATTTTCTCATCTGTAATCCTTTTACTTTCTACTATCATAGCAACATGTGCTTTTATATCTGAATCTATCATATCATTACTATTTTCTTCCTTAATGTAGGATCTACTCAAATGATCAGCTAAAAATAATTCCTTACCCGGTTTGTACTGAACTTCAAAATCATATGGTTGTAATGCCATTTTTATTCTTTGTAATCGAGCAGGACATTTATTTAACGGTTTTGAAAAAATAGAAACTAAAGGTTTATGGTCAGATTCTACCACAAATTGTTGCCCAAATAAATACTGATGAAATTTCTTACAACCATTTAAAATAGCAAGACTTTCTTTCTCAATTTGACTATATGACTTTTCAGTTTCTGTCATAGACCTTGAACTATATCCTATTGGTTTTCTATCCTGTAAGATAACTGCACCTAAACCATCTTTAGAAGCATCCACACTTAAAACAATCTTTTTATTAATATCAAAATAAGACAATATTGGTGGTTCAACTAACATTTTTTTCAATTTATCATATGCAGTTTGCTGATCAACAGACCATATAAATGGAACTTGTTTTTTAATTAATTTACGCAATGGAGCTGTTAATTCTGACATATTCGGAATGAATCTTGAAACATAATTGATTACACCTAAAAATCTTAATAATTCTGTTTGTGATTTTGGCACTTCCATTTCTTCTATTGCCTTAACTCTATCCTTATCTACCTTTATACCTTTTTCTGTAAAAATATGTCCTAAATATTTCACATGAGACTTTTTAAAATTACATTTATTAATATTAAATTTAATACCAAATTCCTGAGCTCTCTTAAGTACTTTTTAAAAAATTTGATCATGCTCTTTTTCTGTTACGGAGTAAATCATCAATATAAATCTCTACTCCTTGTATATCCTCAAATATTTTTCTGAGGACTCTAAGGAGCTCACTACATTCAATACTCCCTATGGCAGATATTTTTATAACAGATTACCGTATTGAATGTAGTGAGCTCCTTAGAGTCCTCAGAAAGCTTAATCATAAAAAAACCTGAATTTGCATCTAATGTACTAAATATGCGACTACCCTTTAACTTTGAAGCAATTTCATCTAATGCAGGAATTAATATTTGTTGACGTTTTATTTGAGAATTAAGATATTGTGGATCTAAACAAATTCTTAATGAACCATTAGGTTTTGTAGTGATAACTAATGAACTAACAAATGTAGTAGGTTTTTCTATCTTTGAAATTATATTTTTACTTTCCAATGTATCTAACTCATTTTTCAACTTTTGCATTAATTTAAATGGAACATGTCTACACGGTTCAATTTTACCTTGCGCTCCTTCTTTAAATTCAATTTTGTATTTGAAATCTTTAATTTTTCCTATACCCTTAAATATATCTTTGTATTTATTGTATAACTCCCATTCATATATCCCTTTTACAACATTAATTTTATCCATACTAATATTTCTATTTAGTAAATTAAATTTTTGAATAGTTGGCAACCCTAAAATTGGTGTAAAGTTATCATAGCATACCTGAAAATTAACAATCTGTTCCCTTCCATTAAGTTTACATTTTAAATCAATTTGTCCAATAGTAGGAATTTTTCCTCCATTAAAATTATTTAATGTTAGACTACTTTTTTCAAACTTAAAAAGTTTCATATTATTACAAATTTTCAATGAAATTACATTACATTGTGCACCAGTGTCCAATTTAAATTTTGTACTTTGTCCTTGTTGCACAAAATGTACCATTTCAAACCAGCTTGCCTCATCACTGTGAACACCAACTGAAAACAATTTAACACTTTTTTCACTATCACTCTTTTCTTCTTGACTTGCCATTACAGTTCTGATTTTTCCTCTGCAATAGCACATCTTCTCGTTTTGTTGCAATTTGAATATGTTTTCCCATATGCTGGACAATTATTTCTTTCATGTTTGTATCCACACCGCTGACATATAAAATTATAATTAATCTTATGTCTGTTACTGTAATTTTCTTGATTATTTTGTGTCATATTTCTGTTTTTCTGGTTTTGATAATTATTTCCTTTGTGGTAAATTTTATTTTGATTATTATTATATACTTGTTTGTTAAATGATGAGTTTCTTGATGAGTTATTACTTCTTATATTTTTCTTGATTAAATTTATTTCCTGGCTGTTTCCTATCTGATTCTCCATTTGTCTTATGTTTTTATTTGTAATTTCCGCTATTTTGCAAATTTTTAGTGTTTTATTTAGATCAATGTCCCCTTCGCTTAATATTGATTTTGAAGTAATTTAGTAGGTCACTATTTTTATATTTATACACACTATTAATATTTATATATTTATTTAATTTCCAAATTACAAAACTTATCAGGAGACATATTTTACCTATTACAAAACCAACCCGACATCCGACAGAGAGATTAATTCTACATCAAACATAGAGTAATAAAGTTGCCATATTCATAAATGTGTGGATTGCTTTCTCAACACTCTTCCTCAATCCATACATTTTCATTATTCAAACCTACACTTAGTAATAACTTATTAAATACACTTTTACACAATGGCTTAGTAAGAATATCTGCTAATTGCTCTTTACTACAAATATATTTTACAGTTATCAAATTCTCTTCTACTTTCTGCTTTACAAAATTGTATTTCACATCTACATGTTTTAATCTCTTTTGTTCATAACTCTTTATACATTTAATAGTACTTTGGTTATCCTCAAAAACTATAACATTATCAATTACAATATCCAAATCAGCTAATAGTTTTATCATCCAACATGTTTCCATAATACATTCACACAAAGCTACAAATTCTGCCTCTGTTGTACTTAGTGCAACAGTATTTTGTTTCCTAGACTTCCATACTACAGTGTTATTAAAAACTTTCAACAAATATCCAGAAGTAGACTTTCTATCAGAGTCTCTAGCCCAATCAGCGTCTGCATACCCTAATAACGGTTTACTAGAATTATCCTTTTTATACAACAATGAAAAATTAACAGTCTTTTTAACATATCTTAACAATCTTTTAAGAGCTCTCCATAGATCAACATTTGGTTTAGATTGAAATCTACTTAAGTAATACACAGAAGCTGCTAAATCAGGTCTAGTACCAACTGTGGCATACATTAGGGATCCTATTAATGAACGACACTGTTTCTCATAAGATACATCAATAATTTCATTTTCATCATATTTATAATTAACATCCATGGGAGTGTCACAACCCTTACAATCCTGCATATTAAAACGTTTAAGAACCTTCATTAAATATTTTGATTGATCAATACAAATACCTTCAGATGTTTTATTAATTGATATACCTAGATACATTAAATTATTATTTCCCATATCTTTCATTTTAAATTTAGTTTTAAGGTATTCCTTCACCTTTTGGATATTCTTTACATTTGTACCCAAAATCAACAAATCATCAACATACAAAAGCAAGTATAAATTCCCTTTACTATATAAGCAATAGTCATTATCAGATCTCTTGAATCCATATTTGGTAATTGTGTCATTAAATTTTTCATACCAATATTTAGGTGACTTTTTTAAGCCATATAATGATTTTTTCAATTTCAGTACAAATCCTGGTGGAACATTCATTCCTGGTGGTGGTTGTAAATATACTTCTTCATTTATTTCTCCATACAAAAAAGCTCCCTTTACATCCATTTGGTGAATTTCATAATCTTTATTTGCTGCTACTGATAAAATAGTTCTTAAAGTCTGTAATCTTAATACGGGTGAATAAACATCTTCTATTATTCCTTCCTGTTGAAATCCTCTAATAACTAATCTCCCTTTACATATACTTTCCTTTCCTATATCCTTTCTTGTGAAAATCCATTTAGCATCAAGTATTTTCTTGTTGGTTTTGGTACAATTTGAAATGTTTCATTTTCCTCTAATACTTTTAGTTCTTCTTGCACAGCTTTATTCCATTCCTTTCTATCCTCTCTTAATTGAATATCTTCATAATCCAGAGGAACATTCTCTGTATCACCTAATAATGCAAATAACACTTCATCACTTTCATCATTTAAATCAAGTATATAGTCTTCTTGCCATTTTGGTTTATTAATATTTCGTTTTCCTCTTCCTCTTTCTTTATTTTCCTGACATTTCTTACTCTCTATAATTTCTTCATTATTTTCATCTATATTTTCTTCATAAACCTCTTCCTCACTCATATTAATTGGTTTTGATTCTTCTTTTTCAGGTTCTGGTTCTTCATCAAAATCAGGTACACTCTTTTTTTTTTTCTTTACAGGTCTCTCATCAAACACTACATTTCTTGCTGTTACTACTTTTCCTGTTTCTTCATCATAAAGTTTGTATCCTCCAATACTATATCCAATCATTATCATCTTTTTTCCTTTGTTATCTAACTTCCTTCTCAACTCTTTAGGTACATGATTATATGCTACACATCCGAAGACTCTTAAATTTGATACATCCGGTTTTTTATTTTCCCACAGCTCACTAGGTGTCTTCGCTCTTCCTGTAACTGGGCTTCGGTTCATAACATAGGCTGAATACATAACTGCTTCGCCCCAAAATTCCTTTTTTAATCCAGAATCAATCAATATAGTTCTAGCTTTATCCATAATTGTCCTGTTTAATCTTTCTGCTACACCATTCATCTCCGGATTGTATGGTACAGTATGTTGCATAATTATTCCATTTCTACTACAGAATTGTTTAAACTCATTAGAAAGATATTCGCGCCCATTATCCATTCGCAATTTATATATATTTTTATTAAAATGATTAGTTACCAAATAATAGTAATGTTGAAAACATTTGAAAACCTCTGATTTATGTTTCATTAAATAAACTCTTGTAAAGTGTGTGAAATCATCAATGAATGTTAAAAAATAATTATTGCCATCATATGTACTTGGTGAAATTGTCCCACATACATCTGAATGCACAAGATCTAAAGGTATCTTAGCTCTATATCCTTGTTTATTAAAAGGTAATCTTGTACTTTTCCCTAATAAACAAGGTTCACATAAATGATTATTATTACTTATCTTATTTTCCAGTTGTGATAAACCCTGCACCATCTGATTTTTTACTAATAAATTTAAGTTATTTATACCTAAGTGACCAAACCTTCTATGCCACAATTCACAATCAGTTTGATCTATTTTGTTAGAAAAATTGCAATGCATACCTGAACTGTAAACATTTACAATGTATAATGTATTCATATTGTTTCCTATCATTAACAAATAATCATTACTATAAACTCTTACTTTTCCTCTACTAAATACAACTTTTAAACCTGCCATTTCCATTTTTGAAACTGATAATAAATTTTTCCTCAAGTCTGGTACATACAAAACATTTTTTAATATACTTTTATTTGTTTGTTTTCCTACTGTACATATAATTTCTATATTTCCTACTCCTATAGCCTCAAGACATATTCCATTTTTAGCTGCAGCTATTTTTTTAGGTGATTTTAATTCTATATAGTCCATAAAATAGTCCTTACAGTTTATCAAATGATCACTGGAACCTGAATCGACACAAAATTCAATGTCAGCACTTTTATAATCACTATTTTTCACTTTATTTTCAAAAACACTTACATATGCATTTGGGGAATACTGTTTATCTTGGTAACTATTGCTTGAACTACCCTGTCTTGGACCTTGACTATATCCTTTATCTCTTCCACGACCATACAGTTGTCCTTTACTATATTGTTGTCCTCGACTGTACTGTTGACCTCGACCATATTGTTGACCTCGATTATATTGTTGACCTCGATTATATTGTTGACCTCGATTATATTGTTGACCTCGATTATATTGTTGTACTGGTCCTGCATTTGTATAACTTCGTCCTTGTCCTCGTACTGTCTGCTGGCACTGGTATTTTTTATGACCTATTTTTCCACATTGAAAGCAGTGAAATGCATTTGTCTCCTCCTTATATTCATGCTCATTAAATTTTTTCCTTTTTTCCTCTTCTGCCAATAATCTGTCTTTTACTGTATTCAATTTTAATTCTCCAATTGTTTCTAAAGCAGTTACTATTGGTGTATATGATTTCGGCATAGATAAAAGAATGTAATTGACTTTTTCTTCTTCTCATATTGTTGTCCCTGCTTCCTCTAACTTGGTACAAATTTCTTGTATTTTTGTAAAATACTCTATAAGTGGTCATGATTCATCATATTTCATTTCACTCAGTTGTCGTCTCAAAAATAATTTGCTCCTTGTGCCTTTTTCTTTAAAATTTTCCTCTAAGTTTTTATACATGTGGTAAGCCGATTCTTTACGTAAATACTCCAGATGACTGTCAGCTACTGCCGAAATTAATATCGCTTGTGCCCTCGCCTCGTGCGTTTTGTTCGCTTCCGACTTATAAAAAATTTCTGAAGTAATCGCTTCAATACAATTTGCTTCTCGTAATATACTCTTTATTCTAAACGACCACACATTGAAACCGTCTCCATTGAACGAAGTAATATTATATTTAATAAAATTTTCTCGCGACGCCATTTTTTCTTTCTCAGAATGACTTTCAATTTTTTAACTTCTTCTTTTACGCAGTATTACACAGTCTGTGCCCATAACTATTGATTTTGAAGTAATTTAGTAGGTCACTATTTTTCTATTTATACACACTATTCATATTTATATATTTATTTAATTTCCAAATTACAAAACTTATCAGGAGACATATTTTACCTATTACAAAACCAACCCGACATCCGACAGAGAGATTAATTCTACATCAAACATAGAGTAATAAAGTTGCCATATTCATAAATGTGTGGATTGCTTTCTCAACACTTAATAATCTATTTCTTAATTTCGTATCTTTTATTCCGGCTATTATTCTATCTTTAATCATTCTATCTCTTAGTTCACCGAAATTGCATTGCTGAGCCAGTTTTTTAAATCTGTGACGTAGCAGTCGAATGACTCATTTTCATTTTGATTTCTGTTCATAAATATATGAGAGTATACGTTTTCATTTCTCAATGGCATGAAATGGTCAACAAATTTTCTCATAACCACTTCATAGTTATTAATTTGTTCCTCATTTAAATCAAAAGTACTATGGATGTCTATACCTAAGTCACCCATGCAATGTAACATAATTGCTATTTGGATATCCCGGTTTATTATTCATACCAGTCGCTTTCCGGTAAATTTCAAATCTTGTTTTCCATTTCGTAAATTCCTCCGCCTCTAATTTCTGAAGAGTTTCTGAGGGTTTTAAGCCCATAAAACTATCCTCCATTTTTTCCTTTGTCCTAACAATGGATGATGCAACTTACTTGTTTTTGTATTTTCTGCAGACGAATCATTGTTATTTTTTTAGAAATTATACTTTATTGAGTAGCCATTACAATCAGTTTTCATTCTTACTACTAATGACATCTATCACTAGTGTTGTGTCAACAATCAATAATCACGCTAGTGATGTACTCTTACAACAACAATACACACTTAATTTATTTGTAACGAATTTTAACGTATATTTTGTGACGACCTAATACTTTCGTAGTAGGTAGGTACCTATATCGTACTTAATACTAAAGCGATTATATTTCTGTTTCGTTTTGATATTGAGTGAATGCCATGAACTTGTTAACATGTTTTTAAACTTCAATGGTACATATTATATCGTTTGAAACACTTAAACTTAGAGGAAAGTAAATTGCAGCAAAGTAACAAACATTCTGGTTACAATGTTTCCGAATTTGATTAAAAGCCGTGCGTTCATTTCCCACATGTCGTATATCAATAATTTAGGTGGAGTATCTTCTAAAATCTTATATATTTTTTTTGCCTTCTCTCTTATGGGGCCTGGAATAAATATAAGTATTGTTACCATGTAGTAATCTGCACTCGATTAGCACTGGAACCCAATGTGGTATCTGATATAATGAATAAATTTACTTTATCTTCGTACAAAACAAAATGTTCTTAAATATAAGTACAAGTTTACACGTACGCTCTTTCGGCTATCAAGCAGGAAAGCATAAACCGCGCGCGCCGCAAACTTGCATATTCGAACCTTCTTCAATCATGAAAAAATCAACCATTTTAGCGCCTTTTTGTAACAATAACTAATTATCATTGCAAAAACCTATCTATATAAATATCACGCGCGGAAGATTGATCGCAAAAAATAGTAAAATGCAGTCACACACGACTGTGCGCACAATTTTTCATGCGCGCTCCTGATCGCGTGTGAAAAATTGTGTCATGTATGCTAAAAAAAAGCGGAGATATTAATGTTATTTTTTCAAAAGATTTAATGAATAAATTAAATATATTTTCTTAAACTAATAGGCACCTACCAATTATTGAAACTATCAGTTGTTATGTACCTATATTTAAGAACATCTATGTAAACCGCCCCCCGTTTTCACGGCTAACCTTACCAATCAAACATACTGTTTTCACCTTTACATGATTTCATTATATAGTAACTATATCCGCGGTTTCACTCTCGTTAAATTTCAATATAAAATAAAGCCTATGTGTTATTCTGATCCATAAGCTATTTTACTGTAAAGTTACATTAAAATTCGGTCACTACCTAGTGTATGCGTGAAAAAGTAACAAACATTCATACTTATAAACTTTCGCATTTATAATATTAGAAGATAATAAATATTAATAATAATAATAATATAAAGAGAAAATTAAGAAAAGGAAATAAAGATACTTCTAGATACTTTACCGTACATGTAGTTCGACATTATAGAAATAGATAATCTTTTTGTCAGTTTAATCTCTTTGCAAAATAGTTCACATCGAAAACATAAAAAGAATGTTATAATTGTATGCACTGTTGCTGTACAAACTATGTTTATAATTAGTACGATGTCCATGACCTGAAAATATGTTAGCGAAAGAATACAAGTTATATCCCAATTATTTTAGTGCATTTCTACACAAAATTATTGGGACTTAGCTTGTATTAGTAAATGAAAAAAGTTTGTTACATATATGGTGTATATTAAGTAGTCAAAATGTCTTATGTCCTATATAACACATAAAATGTACATAGGTACGTGAGAAGGAGCCAAGTACGTGTCAAAAATGTCTTAAAATTTGAGGCGATATTGAGGTAATGGTAGAGATCGCCCTGAAACACTTCCTAGATCGCCTCGTATGTAAAGAAATTAGGGCCGATTCCTCATACTGTGGTTGCCAAGCCGAATTTTTCACTACCACTATTGATCCGATATTACCCGAGTAATAAAAAAATATCTTTCTCATATATGCTATCATAATAAAGTTACCCTAATTTTAGCCTTAGTTCATGACAGTTAATACATGAAAATACTTACGTTGTTTTGTACAAGTAAAAGTATAAATTCAAATGACGATATTGCGCATATAATAATTTTGAAACAGAAGAGAAATATCTGCAAAACAAGATATACGAAATGCCTAAAAAATAATAATTATATAGTACTAAGTTGATAAGGTAAAGTAATTGTTGCATTTATTGTAGGTGCGTTTGTAGAAAAAAATGTGTAATACTGTTTAGTAATAAAATTATTATAATGTAAGTAAATATAGACCATTGAAGAAAGTAGTATACATTCTATAATCGTGAATGTTCATTCAGAATTTTGAGTACGAAAGCGAAATATGTGCAGATATTATTTAAATGTTGTTGTTGTGCAAATATTAATTGTTCTTGGACAGAAGGCTCTATTTCAGATATTTTAAAGCAGTTGTGTAATCGCTTACCTGAAACATATACATATTTTGATAATACGAAAATACATTTAAAACTTTCTTTAAATAAATATGAACATCAAATGATCGTAAGTCGCAGTTTTTCATTTCAATAAGTTGGAAAAGTTCTTTGCCATAGTATCCGCTACTTAATGGTATTGCCAGATCTATAATGTTCTCTTTAAATTCTTCTTTCAAATGATTTTTTATTATACGATTTACACAACGCAAGTGCATTGCAAAGTATACCATAAGATTTGAGTAGTGAGTAATTTCGAATAAAATTGTCATATCCGTGTAAAACATTATAGTCATATTGATTACTGCTGTAAATCCTTCAAAACTTGATAACAGAGGCAACAGCAATGTCATTAAAATTGTTGTTACTGTTACTATGTTTAATTTATAAATGCAATCATAAAGACTCTTTTTGTTGTTGTTTTTTATAAAATTATCAAGCTCTTGCATTTTTATATAAAGCTCCTTGTGTTTTTCATTATGAACGAATCTTACATCTATAATCGTCAATGAGTATATTAGTACTTGGACATATATCATTACAACGCTTATAATGTATAAGGTTTGATAATCATGAAATATGACGTTTAATACTTCTATAATTTGAAACTGTATTAGTAACACTAATATTAGTAGAAAAATTGAATACAATCTTTGATATAACGTGGGGGTAGTCACAAATCTGTCTCTACAGTCGACACGGCAAGTTCCTATTATTAATTGCCAATAACGAGTAGGGGCAAACGATCGTAATAAGTCCTCGTCGATTATATCTTTAGAGAGATATTCGGTTGATTTCATGTTATTTTGTTTGCTATTTTTCATCATAGTTTTTTATTTAGATTCTAGATATTTTATGAATTCTGTTTGTCTTCTTCGGCCTTGGTTTTTATAATTCGTATATTGATATATTTATCTTTCATAAAATAATGTTTACTTTTAGCTTACACTAATAACGTCGAGAATTGACTGACCGTTAATTTCTAACACACTAGTAACTGACAATAGAATTAGGAAGGACTCGATTAATTGATTGACTTTTATATTTTTTATATCTACGAACTTTTTCAATTAATTTATTTGTAATTTAAGTGATTAAATTGAAAAAACTGTTTCCTTGTTATAACAAATAAATTGTATATATTTCTTACAATAAAAAAAGTTATAAATGATAACAAAATTAAAGTAGACTTACATTTTTTAAATTACTTATAAATAATTTAGTACAAGGAGGTACACATGTTTTAGAATATTCTTATCATTCTTTTTTATCATATGGTTGCTCACAACTATCCTCAGTTGTGTTATACCTATCAATAACATTTTTATATTACCGACATTTTCTTGTTGTATTTTTTTATTCCATGGGCTATTTATATATATATATTTTTTAATATTTTTAAATATAATGATTGAGAGCTTTATGGCCTTATAGTTTACTGCCACTATGTTAAAATCTTTCAAAGTTATCTTTCAATAGTTCAATGCAGTCATCGATCAGTTGACAGTGCCTCTGACTACCCCAACTAGGATGAAAGTCGTAGAAGTATTATTTATATATATTTTAGTCCCATTACCTAGCTGTACTTATTATGGGAAAAGCAATAAAGACTTAATTTAATTCCATTGACGCAACCCTAAAAGAATCATCACAAACATAGTCTGTGAAAAACATACACAAATTTATTGAAGTTCAGGATATATACTGCTCTTCAGAGCTGGTTTATTCTACAGCACTTATTATGATTAGGTAGGTGTAAATAAAGTTTTGTATTTTTTAAATATAATTTTAATGCTATAATCCCGTATGCTTAATTCACAGATACGCAAACTGCAGTATTGTTACAAATAGCCCACTAAATAAATATATAATTTTTAGTAAAAGTGTCGCATCCATATGCCACATGTCGTAAATTATTAACCTCGGTGGAGTTTCCTCTAGTATCTTGTACATCTTCTTAGCCTTTTCTCGCATTGGCCCTAGTGAAATAAATAATTATTTCATTAATTTACAATAATTATTCTTTATCGTATATGATACTTAGTACCTACTCAGTAATACGTACCTGAGCCATAGGGTGTTTTTCATATGTATGCTCTTGGTATTAATACCACTATGTAAATACCAAGGAATAAACATACCCAACTACATTACGCTACAGTAATAATAATAATAACAAAACAGCAACTATACAAAGCACAATGATAATAACAATCTACTACTGTGACTCGACATAATTTGTTACCGCTCTGTGAAACTCTGTGTACTTAAATGTTATGATATAAGTCAAGTTGTATAAAACGGCTCACCTGATGGTGTGATTATTACCTCTGTTTATGATGATGATCGACACCCGAAACACTTAGGGAATTGCAGGTTTTTAAGGAGGGACCAAGTATTTTCTTAATATTTTCAATAAATACTTAATAAGGCTTCTATACTATAGGTAAGATAATGTGTGCACATGTATTATAGGTAAATATACATACCATTCTGATGTATCGACATTAGAGTAATTGATAAACTTTTAACTACTTTTATTTCTCTGAAGAAGAATTCACATTGGAGACACAAGTATTGTATTGTATATGTATATACTATAAACATAGTTCCTATTACTACAAGACCTGGTAAATCTACAGCCTGAAAAATGAATTATAATTCCTTTATATATGGAGTTATAGAATAGTTGCTCTTATTACTATATCTCTATGTCAAGTTAACCTCCACGTGGTTCCCACTGGAAACCATTGTAGTCAATTACTCGCGAAGATGCGTTAACTGGCCTTTTTTAGTAAATAGACAATGTTTAAAAAATCTAGGCAAAGGAAAATAGGTACTAGACACTTACTCTCTAAAATTTCTATGGTATACTGACAAAGAGCTTAAATGTTGGAGTCGCTGAAGTTATTCGGACTATGTGTTTAACAGACTCGACTTTATCTTCATCATATCACCCTACCCTGGCGCTTCTATAACGTATATTGACACGTAATGTACACGTAAAAAACACGTTATGCAGTCGTATTTTGTTGAAATTGTCTCCAATGTGGTAGGTGCTAAATTAAGTAAGATATGTATTGCCCTTCAAGTAGGTACTGCATTGCCTACTTTTAATACATATAGATACATCCGGGTAGTTGTAAAGGGTCAGTGCCAGTGAAAATTTTATGAAAAAACAACATTTCTAATGAAATTAAGTGGAAAAGTAGATCAATTTTTAAATATTTGATCTACGCGGTCTGTTAACTGATTTATCTAATTAGTTGCTTGGTGAATGTAGTTTAAAATCATCAGTACCTCAGTCCCTTTGGGATTTAATGTAATATTTGATACTAGTTTATTTTATTAGTATTTCTATGCTACATTTTACTTACATTGTTTTGTAAACTGAGAATTAGGAATTCAAATGATAATACACCGTACACCATAATTTTGAAAAAAGTAGAAATATCTGTAAAGTAATAAGTATAATTTGTAAAGTAATGTATTCAGTACCTAATCAAATTGTTAAAAAAATTAATAAATATTAAAGTAACTTGAACGACAGTTACAATAACGATCTTTGTAGATAAGCTAGTATTTTGTAGTAGGTTGATGTCATTTTAGATATGGACAGATTTTAAATTGGGATACAACTTAGTACATACATATATTGTAGATTATACATATATGCATAATCTTTATTATATCAACTAAAAAATAACTTGTAATAAATAAATCTCACCTGAAATTTGTATATATTTTTAAAGCATTCAAAAACTGACAATAATTTTTGAATATACACATCAGTATTGTTATATCTGTAGTCGTAATAGTTGTGTTCTAACTCTTTGAAGTATTGTTTGAAGCTTTTGTAATTAGGCATTACACGGTCTAAAATTTCGTTCTTCACCACATCTTGTAAGTATTTTGTTAATATACAGTTGACAATGCGTACACGAAACATAAAATATATCATAATATTTGAGCAATGATTTGCTTCAAATACAAATGAGGAATCAATGTAGAGTACCGCAATAGATATCAACAATGCAAAAAATCCTTGAGTGCTTGTAATAACAAGTGCTATTATATACATCACGAATATTAAAACAATTGTCAAAACATTTAGTTTATACATATTGTGATTTAAATCGTTATTTTTATTAGATGCTATTTTCAAAAGATGATCAAGTTCTTGCATTACTACATAGAATTTAACGTTGTCTTCACTCCTACAGAATCTTACGTGTATAATGTTTATAATATACGTTGCTATCATACAGAAAGCCAACAACAAAGGTAAAGGGTATATGTTTTGATATTCATGAAATTTCAGATTATAGGTGTATATTATTTTGGAGAATGCTGAAACTATTAAAACCACAAGTACTATTGAATACAATTTTTGGTAGATTGTAGGTGGTGTCACAAATCTGTCCCTGCTGTCCACTCGGCATGTACCTAATATTAATTGAATAAATCGAATGGGCGCAAAAGAACTCAAGAAGTCTTCATCCATCATCTCACTTGAGAGATACTCTGCTGAGTGTGTATTATTATTATTTGTTTTAGAATCCGACATTATACTGTAATACTATTCCAGATGCCGTGAAATTATTTTATGGATGGTAGAATGTGTTAACTTGTAATTAATTGATTGTTTATACCTTTATGTCCTTAATTGATTAATATTTTATTTTATGAATCAAGTGTTGTATACAGCGTGTATCATAATATGTATGTATTCTTTGAAAGTAGCTTTAAAACAAAACTTTGAAAAAAATAATGTACCTTATTTTAAACATATAGAATACTTCTAAATTTATGTAAAAGTTTTTGCATTAGAGAACAAGCCTTAATATTATATACCTACGTATATTATATAGGCGTAATATAGAAATAACAGAGTTTCTTTATCTAAAATAGTGTATTTATTACTATATTCTTTCTAAATATAATGCGATTAAAAATATAAATAATATCTATATAAAAGTTAATGCTGCTACTCTTTATATAAGTATGTACTTTCAAAACAAGAGTTAAAATGAGTTTCTTTTTATGAAGAAAAGAACCTACTATATAAACAAATGTGTATAAAATAATTATAGCGTAATTGAAATAACTTACTTAAACACAATTAAGTATGTTTTTTATTATTTAAGTATCCTTTTCTCATGTGTGACTATAAGTTTTAGAATAATATTATAATATTATTGGATATTATTTACTATTTATGTTTTATAAACCACTACCTCTATATTGAATACATCAAATCAATTATTTCTACTAGTGGTTATTTTAAATAGAAATATAATTGAATTCACACTCTTCTATTTTTCGACTGTCATACGTAATAATACCTACTATTGGTAGAGTTTCTACTATTAATTGTAATACAGGTGTTAGGCAGTAACACTCTATTATATTATCATTATCTGTGGTGATACATATTATTAAAATCGATGACATACGATTGTCAGTAAAATTAGAGCTGTAAGAAAGCGCTAGCAAATTCACATTTAAATCTTTTAGTTTAGATTTAAATTTGGCATAGGCAAATATCATTCCCAGAACTAGATAAATTCTTTTGCTAATTCCAAATTTAAATAGTTTATTTCTCCACACCTACTTCTCGACGCGGCTGATTTTCTCTGTTGATTTTGTTTTGTATACATATATATACATAAATTATGGATTCTACAGCCGGAGGTTGTAAAAAATATACAACCTTTTTCTTAACTTAAATTTATTAATATAAAATAATAATTACAATGCTTATAGTTCGATGTTAGAACAGAATATGATTGATTTATATAATTCTATAAAAATGAAATGTAACTATAGGCATGACGCGATATGGCGTGATGCTCATTGCTGATCAAGCATTTGGTGCCGCGTGCAATGTTTATTGGGGATAGTGCAAATGCAGCAGTCCTTCTATACTAGGCTTGCGTAACACCTCCCCTCGTAGAACAGCGACTATTGAAGACGTTTGTCGTAAATTGAGCTGGGGGTTGCTCTGGGTTAACTCTCCTTGTTTCAGGAACAGTGTAGATTCCTTCCATTTCCATATGGTTGACTGGATGAGCTTGCCTGGTGTTGAGGTATTTTATGCGGAATTTATAATACGTAATGCCACAGGCAAGCACGCAAGCACTTACTAGTATTGCATATATCGGTATAGTCGTATGATATATACCGCTGTTATTTTCTGTCTGCAGTGTCAATGGAGGTGCTATTGACATCTTCATATTTGTTTCATGCAGGTGATCCAGTTTGATCGAATTCAGTTTGAATGCGGGTTTCAGGGTTTTGTAAAGGTCTTGTCCGCAGGATAAATGTCTTTTCGTTGGAGTTGGAAAACTCACACTGTAGTGCCTATCGTTGAGTTTCTCGTAAGCTAATTTTGTTAGTGAAACAGTAATGGGGTTGCATGTGCGGTCCCGCTGCTGCGTGGTGATGAGCCTCTGGATACAGTCTTGGAGTGATTGATTCTGCATATTGCTGGGTGCGCCGCATAAGTACCATCTGCTCGTCTTCGGACATTCTGTCTCTATGTATTTAAAATCTTTCTCATGAAGAACAAGGAACGGATGGGGTGGTGATAAGATCTCGTGGTGATTATTGGGTATTATACATAATTTATACATATCATACGTAAAGGGATAGATGATGGGAACTTTATATATTATTTTATTATCTATATAATATGAACCTAACTTAATTATATAATATATTTCTCTAGTATCTAAATCTATTACTACTTTATCTGTACCATATATAGTAGTTATGTTATTAATCATAGTGCGGATTGTATACGAATCTAAAACAGAATGGTGCATAGTAGAAGTTTTTATAAAAGCTATTATAGTTAATTATAGTTATCGCTTACTATATCTATAAATTGAGATAAATGGGCATATTTTACTAAATCATAGTCCCGTGTAGCTTCGTTTTCTTTTATCTTACCTACTAAAATGTATATCTTATTCTGATTTGTTACTATATTACTTATGATTTTAGAATACTGAGCAGTCCAATCTTTAGATAAACTAACCTGTGCATTAAATTCAGATACTATTTTATTTTTATTATCTTGGAGAGATTTTATTACCTCGTTATACTTTTTACTATTGACCAGGAGCGTCCTGAAACAATTGGGCGCTTTTAGGGACTCTTTTTAATCTAGATTTAGCTACAGGACCACGTTTTTTCTTAGTATAAATATGTATAGGGAGGTCTGCCATTACAACGTCTTGTGTGTAACGGGGCACTAACTTTTGTCGGGAAGCAAAAATCTGTTGTTCTGGTGAATACTGAAGTTCAGTTTCACGATCCTTATTATGATTTTCAGTAATATTTTGACGGGAGGAATTATAGAGTTCATGAACTGAGTTATATACTAATTTCATTTTATCTTTATGGTTATTCATATATTGCTGTAATAAATGAGTTGAGAGATCTATATCAAATGGATCTCGAGGATCAAAATGGTCAGTTATAATTTCAATCGGTTTACACTTTGTAAAACTATGTATACTACTATTGTAAGCCAGAAGGGCATATGGCATAAGATTTATTACCGATTCAGATTTATTATTTATTTTTAATATACGAAGGTGCTCTAGAATAGTTGAATGGAATCTTTCTACGATACCATTCTCATTCGGTGTATGAGGAGCTATTCTGTGGTGTTGAATTTTATGAACCCTGACGAATTCTGATATAAGTTGGTTGGTGAATTCCGGTCCATTATCAGTGACTATGGTTAGAGGTACGCCATGATGTGTACAAAAGTTTAATAAACCTTGCACGACACTGATGGCTGTGCCATCCCTTAAGTGGTAAGCTTGCGCATACTTAGAAAAAGCATCTACTATAGTTAGAAATTTCTCACTCTGTATAGTTAATAAATCTAAATGAACTAATTCTAATGGTAATAATAAATTTAGCAATCTGTTCACGCATTTTCGGCCAATAATACTTATGAGATAGAGCTAAATGACATTCGTTAATGCCACGGTGATTCGTCTTTCCATCATGGTACTTATTAATGATCTCCTGTTGCCTCAGATATTCCCTTACATTTTCAACTTCTTTTTTTGTTAATAAAATATTCATGGATGAGTTTTTAAATGTTTTTTGTATAATAGGTACTATAGTGTACATATCTAGAAATGGATTTATAAGTAAACCTGTCTTAATTTTTGGATGAACATATTATTTTATAGCATTAATGATGTCTTCTTCGAGATTAGATTTAGAAAGAAAGAAAAGAAGAAAAGAAAGAAAGAAAATTGTTTAATTGGTACACTGAAAATAATTTTTAAAATTAAGTTTACATTTTATATTAATTTATTTATTTGTATTGATATACGTGTATGAGTATCGAAAGGTTTTGTTAAAATCGGTCTGCCTTTAATATCGCCTACGATGTTTAGAATTAACTGTTTCGTGAATTTATTTAATGGTTCGTCTGTTATCGGTATTTCTAAAATTGGATTTTCGTTGTCAGTATGCACTGTAGCAGTATTAGAATTACTTGTAACATCCGCGACGGTTAATGTTCTTGATTCGTCTACGGTTGGTGCATTATCAGAGGGATTAACTATAATAGACATAAGTTCGTCGTTATGCACTTCAATTCGTGAAAGCGCATCGGCGTTTGTATTCTGTTTACCTTGTTTGTAAACTACTGTAAAATCGTACTCACTCAATTTTAATCGCCATCTGGTAAGACGCGAATTGGGCTCTTTGAGACTCATAACCCACTGGAGTGGTTTATGATCCGTTACAATTTTGAATTTCCTGCCAAACAAGTATGGTCTAAAATACTTTGTTGCCCAAACTATAGCTAAAAGTTCTTTCTCAATAGTGCTATAATTAAGCTCGCTAGAATTGAGTGTTCTGGACGCATATGCAATAGGTTTATCAGAACCTATTTGTCCTTGAGCTCATACTGCACCGATAGCGACGTTAGACGCGGCGGTTGTTAACAAAAACTCTTTATCAAAATTTGGATATTGCAAAATAGGATCATTAGTTAATAGTTTCTTACAATGATTAAAACAGTTAATATAAGTCTGATCTAATGTTATTTTTGAACCCTTTTTTAGACATTGAGTTAACGGTTTAGTGAGGCGCGCGAAATCTGGTATGAATTTTCTATAATATCCTAGAAGGCCAAGAAAACGTTTGATTTCAGTTGTAGTTTTAGGTAAGGGGTAATTCTCAATAGCGTGGATTTTATTAGGGTTAGGCTTCACTCCTTCACTACATATAACATGTCCCAAAAACTCAGCCTCTAATTTTAAAAATTCAGACTTATCCATTTGTATCTTAAAGTTGGATTCTCTTAATTTAGTGAATACTTTTTCTAAATTTAGGATATGTTCCTGTAGTGAGGTACTGTATACTATTATGTCATCTAAATATACGAGACATATGTCATTTTGAAGGTCTTTCAACAAGTTATCCATAACTCGTTGAAAAGTTGATGGTGAATTTTTAAGACCCATTGGCATTCTTAAAAATTCGTAATGACCGTTCTCTACATTAAAAGCAGTTTTGTGAATATCCTCT